CCAGTGACTTCCTCCTTCACCCCAGGGACCTGTATATGCCTTGAGCATTATAGTACTACCGTAAGTGTTTGTATTTCCTTGGAAAGGGAAACAAACTTGGGATTTCTAGAAAGGCAAACATCTTCCTACTGAACCTGCACTGTCCAAATGACTCGTGCAGAGCAGAGAGAAGAGCTGAGGATTTGTCCTCTTTATATCATGATTCAGTTGCTGGCTGTTCCTCTGGCTGCGTGGCCACATGCTCAATTCTTGGCCTGGTTGTCCATCAATTCTAAAAGAAACCCATAATATCCTCCGCCTTGGATGCTATCTTTAAATCCTAGATTCAGTGGAAATGTGCCATTAGGAACTGCAATGTCACTTCTCACTACTTTAGTCAGTAAAAAAAAAAATTGACAGATTAAAGTATCTCATGTCCTTCCTTCACCCTGTCTTTCCCCAAAAAAACCTTACCAGCCCCCACCCAAAGAAATCTCATTTCTATCTTGGATCATTAGATTATAATTTCTATTTTGGCATTAGATTATAATCCTTGAAGCCTGGGAATCAGGAATGCCTTCCAGTAGATTTCATGATTTTCTTCTTCACAGCTTTCCCCTCTGGGACTGAAGTAAGGAATGCTAATACTTGGAGGAAGGGGGCTTCATAGAGGGTTATTGTTTATCCTTCATTTTTGAAAGGACCAATGACATCATTAGTCCTCCCTGAACACCCCATACACAGAAATGTAGTAAAGCTATGCACAATATATGGACTTCACCCTTGCGGAACCAAAGCCTATTCTCAGGTCTCTAGTCTCAGCTTTTTCTGGAGGGTTGAAGCAGCTATTTCCTTTTATAGGCCCACCACCCTCTACAAATAGTCCAAGCCAATTGAATCATCCCCAGACAGTATCTGAGACTTAACTACCTGTCCTCAATGAGGCATAACTGAGCGGTATCTCAGCCCTGCATGTATCCTTAATCCTCTCAATGAGATGAATGTGGATATGTGGACGTCCTCCACAGGGAGATATAATCAAAGTCCAGAGTGAAGGTTCATTTCCGTGGAAGCGTGTGATTGATGGAAATGTCCATGCCTTATTAAATTGACTCGAGTCTCCTAATCAAGCCTGGTCATACGTTTCCAGGAATCCATAAATGTAGAGACCACTGCCTCAGTCACCTGGAGGCAGGATCATAGGATTTAGAGCTAGATGATCCTTAGAGAGATTCTCTCTCTCTCTTCTCTCTCTCTCCTCTCTCTCTCTCTCTCTCTCTCTCTCTCTCTCTCTCTCTCTCTCATTTATCAGTGAAGAGAAGTGAAGAGGCTTGCTCAAGTTACACAGGGAGTAGCAGAATTAGGATTTGAATCTAGATCTTCAGAGTTCAAATCTAGTGCTATTTCTATGCCATGCTGTTTTCCTATAGATCGGACCCATTGACTTATGATTTATATGCCAGCTATGTCAATACACAATCTTGATTAGACTATTCTCTAGTTATGATCTCAGGCTCTTGCTCAGTGTTCCTGAGCTGAGCCAACTTTTCTTCAGCCTTCCTCCTTACTTGTCACTTATCTTCTCTGAGCTTTCAATTTTCCTGTGCTTAAGAAGTTTGTAAATGGAGGTAATAATAGTACTTACCTCACAAAGCTCTTAATGGAGATCAAGTGAGATAATGAGTTTGTGAATTTTAAGGTACTTTACAGATGTCAGTTACTGATGGAGAAAGGATACTGTTGGGACTTAGAATCAGGAAGAATTTGGTTGAAATCTCTCATTTAATATTTACTGTGACCATGGCCAAGTCACAACCTCTGATCCTCAGTTTGTCTTATCTTTGAAATGGGGATAAATAATACATGTATTAACCACCACCTCACAGAGTTGTACTTAGGCTCCAACACTAATTTGTGTAAAGCAGCTCTACAAATGCTTATTAAGTGCTGAACACTATTCTAAGCTCTTTTCAAAAGCTTAAATTCACTTTATGCTATCTAAGTGTCAGTTATTACTATCAGCACTTGAGGGATGTGTGCTTCTTTCTTCTCTTCAGTTCTTGCCCTTATGCCTTTTTAAAGGATTCTAGCTCTGTATTCTGAAACACCTCATTCTAAACCCTAAATTATTCTTCTCTGAACTCACCATTTTATTGAACAGTTCTTTTTCTCCATATTTGTAAAGTCGGTAAAATCACAGAGAAATTATCCTGTCCCCCCAGTACTATGGGAAGTTAGCCCAATCAACTTTGAAAGTCCCTTCCTAGGGCTGAGCTTTTGGACTGGTGAATGACTGAGTGCAAAATCACCTACTCCCTCACTCTGGCCGGCCCCAGACCAGACCATGCTTCACAAACTATCCACTTTGTCCATCTTGCCATCCTCCTTTGCCGCTATACATGAACCACCTCCTCCTCTTCCTATCTCTTGCCCTGGGAACAATGATCTAATCAATACTATAATTGATTCTGAAAAGCATATGTCAACTCACTACCTTTTGGATCAGCTTCCCATTCTGGAGCTCTTCAGACTGGGCCAGGAACTGCTTCACTTTTGTGTTTATATCCCCAGTGCTTAACAGTGCTTGGTACACAGTAAATATTTAATTTCTGCTCATTCACTCTTAAGGGTCCATTTGTCACACATCCATTGGATGCCACCATCAGTCAGCTTCTGGCTTCCCATGCTGACCTCCACATGCCAAAAATTACCTGTATTAACTACTTGCCTCACAAAATAATTCTTATTTTACAAGATTCTTTTAAGACAAACCCATCATAAACCTTCAACTCTAAATAAATGTGAATTATTTTCTTATCCCCTCAGGCTTCCAATGCCTTTAACCCATCCAAAGTGCTAACCAGCTAATTTATAGAACACACAGAATCTTAGACCTGGAAGGGTTCTTAAAGCCCATCTATCTAGGCCAAACTTCTCATTTAATAAATGAGAGAACTTATCTCAGAAAGGTGAAATAACTTGCCCAGAGTCCTATAACCTATCAATGGAAGAACCAAAGTGAGAAACCCAGTTTCTCTATGGAATGTTCTTCTCCCACAAGGAGTGCTAGTGGAGAAAGCTGGTCCTTCCTCTCTCCTCCTTCACTTTTAATTACAGCCTCAATCCTGGCTCCCATCCCAGGGAATGTGCATGCATGTTAAGAGGAACCATCCAGAGGAATGATTCTTATCATTTTTTTGTGAGTCCTGGACCCCTTATGCAGTCTGGTAAAGCCTTTTCAAATAATGCTTTTTTAAAAAAATCATAATTAAGGGGAAATGCTAAATTTCATTTAGAGGTTAGTGAAAATAAAGATGTACCCAAATTCATGGACCCCATGAAATCTATCCAGAGGACTCTTGGGAGTTCGATGATGCTACTCAAGAGACAAGCTCTTTGTTTCTGTTATGCAGCCCAGAGGAATAGATCTAACAGTGGGAATTTCAGGCCAATAAGAGCCATAGCGCCATGGTTGGTCAGTGGTAGAATGGAAATATTTTGTATTAGTGGGGGTCTTGTCACACTTCAGATCAAACAGCCCTGACTGGCTCTCCTGAAAGATACTCAGACAAAAAGAGTCCAGCTATGAGCTGACTCACAGATTCTCCCTTTTGGGAGATGGGGACAGTTATACGAAGCTGAAGGGCATCAAGCTCCTGGTGGTCACTGACTTATTCTTGCTTTCCTCTGACTTAGGCATACCAGTTCCAGGCAAGGGCTCTCCATTGCAGAGCACTTTCCAGGCATTCTCACTGGTCCTGCCTTTCCTAGCTGATCATTAACCACCTGGAAATGGCTCTGCGCCTCTGGGATTCATTATTCCCCCTAGCTCCATACTAACACCCCTTCCCATACTCCCCCTCCCACACTTTTACTGGACACTTCCTTTTCAAACAAGCTCCTTTGATTTGTGAAGCAGCATTTCCTTTTCCCTCGGGCATAATCCCCTTAAGGGATTCTATGGACAAGTGTATGCTGAGAGAAAGGGGAAATAGGTATCAGGGCCTGGAGGAAAAAGAGACTCAGCTGGGACATCTTGCTTCTTATTCCTTCTGAAACTGGTAAGCCTGACTCAGGGTGGTCCCTTATTAGTTTAGGTGTAGTGTTGGAACAAATGAGACACTGATAGATCATTGAACAGTTAACAAAAGGAAATTTATTTAGCCATGGCATAGAAAAGATATTTAACGAGGCTATCATAACACTTAGCTTTAGTGGACCAAGGTTCACCCTCACTCCTGTAGAGAAATAAGTCTGGTCAGCAGGAGAGTGGCCTCAGGGCCTCTGACATCTGTCAAGTTGGAAAGGCCATGATTCCCCACTCCACAGAAGTGGACCTCTAGGTGGTCACCCTAGGTGACCAGGTAGCCACATCAGTAAGGCCACCAGAAAGCTATGTCAAGAGAGACAGGGTTGAACCTTAGCCTCCTAGACCACTCAAATCCCAAGGACAATTTTTTTGAGCTTTAAAGAAAGAAGTAGCTCAACCTACATGGTGTATGTGGGCGGCAGTGGCGAGGGGGGGGGCCAGGGATGGGGGGGGAGCACCCTGGTAGAAAGTGATCCTATCACACCTTTCCTCCAAGACATGCTAAGGCTCTTCAGAAAGAACTCTAGCCTATAAATGCAGGCAGCATGGACCCCTAGCTATGCTGGACTCATACACAGACAGTCTAGGAAGCCGCTTCTGTCCTATTCTCCCCTTTTCCCCTCTACCCTCGGTGGTTCAGAGGTAGAGCCAGGGCAGTGGAACAGGTGCAGCTGTACAGACAGCATGTGGCCCTGGTCTCCAGAGGCCTAGGGGTGGAGGAGGTGGCAGCTGTGTATCCTAGGTAATGCACACACCCGTGGGGCTGGTCAGGGACCAGGAGCCCTTTGCATGCCATTTCCATCTCAGTAGATGCCAGGCTAGGCTAGGCCAGTCCAGGACTCCTAGAATCTGCGGGTGGCCTGAGAGGTGAAAAGCTCACTCACTCCTTCACTCTCTCAGTGGCCGAGTGGTCCTCAGTCCAGAGGAGACCATGAGGTCTGAGTTGCTTCACTGGGCTTTGTTGCTGCTGCTCATCTTTCTTTCCCCTGCTCCAGTCAAAGCTGAAAAAGACCAAAGTGTGTTCTGTGGAGGTAAGTGCCTTCTGGCCCCAAGGGATTCCATTGTTCTCTTCTGGGGCTGCCAAAGGAAAGGGGAAGGAAGTTTGCTTCTGTTCTTGAGTCTCTTCCCTTATTGGCTTGGTTTGCACCAGGTTAACAGGCCAACTCAATAATAATAGCACTTATATTCACATAAACTGTGGGAAGTAAGTGCTGTTATCCCCATTTGACAGATGAGGAAACTGAGACAGGTTAACTGGTGACTTGGCTGAATTTAGCACCTAGTAAGTATCTGTGAAGAGATTTGTACTCAGAGCTTCCTGACTCCAAGTTTAGCACTCTATCAATCAATCAACAAGTACTTATTTTTTCAACTAATAAGCATTTATTTTCTCTTCTCCCTCTCCTACTACACACATTAAAAAGAAAAAAAGAAAAAATACCCTTATCATAAATATGTATAGTCAAGCAAAACAAACTCCTGCATTGGCCATGGCCAAAAATAAATGATTCATTCTGCATTTTGACTCCATCTCTCTGTCAGGAGACAGGTAGCATCTATCACAATCTGTCATTCATTGCCTTGGGTTCTTAAGTCTTTTGAAGTTATTTGTCTTTATTGTGTTCAACCAGTACTTATTAATCACCTTCTATGTAACAAGCTTTATGCTACCACTACATCAAACTCTTCTTAAACCCACTTCACTCAGCTGTCTGAATAGCAGGTGGAAGAGGTACCAGCCATTTGGGTGTGGCATACACGATCAAGGAAGCTCAGCTCATTCAAATGAAAGTAGTGCTACGTCTCCTTCCCTGTCCACCTCTCTTAGTGTGATTGCTTTATCTCCAAGTGGGCCTCAGTGGGTCTAATGGCCCCTTCTCTCCAGTGTAGTTAAGTGAAAATCTCCTTCCTAATTCCCATCTGAAGTCTTCATGGAGATCCTGGAAATAGAATCATACTGTGGAGAATGGGGTGACTGAAATTATTGCCTCTAGTGACTCCCGGGTGATCTTCTGCCTTCCAGTGACTGTAGATCAAGAAGAGAGTCTCATTAGGATGAAACTCTGGACTGTTTTATAGCTTTGTTGGGCACCTCCAATTATATTTCTTAATCACTGGATATTTTTGGAAATGGTTGAAGTTCAGAATTTTTGCATAAACCTATATAACGCATTCATATACTGTTTATCAATATAAATAAATTGCATGTATGATCTTTGTTAATGTATGTAATTTTTATTATGTGTATCATGTATATAATATATTTATTCCTGAATGCCCCAAGAGCAAAGGGTCACACAGGCATTATTTCAGCCATATATATTATAGAAAATTCAGGGGTTAAAGAAATCAGACACGGCCTAAAAGAAACAAGAATATGGGCAGGTAAGAATGCTAAGCTGAAAATAAGACTTCTTCAGATTTCCTGAGCTCACTACCTTCAAATGCACATCAGGACGTTGGTGAAGCTTGGAAAAGACTGAGAAAACTTTGTGACAAAAGTATATGGGGCTCTGAGGCTGCAGAACCTTTTCTGAGTGGCTCCCAGCTTACAGTTCAATCACCCAACAGGGCAGTTCCTGCACCTTCTTCTGGAGAGAAGAGGTGCTAGACATGTTGCTGGATCCCCATGCTTCTTGAAAAGGGGAGGAGTCCTGAGCCAAAGAGAGATAAGAGACAGAAGGACGCTGTGGAGAACAAATCCAGATCTCTGGCAAGCATTTTTCTATGTATCCCTTAATTATGATGATCAGAGGGTTGTGAATCAAAGTTTACATTCCTTTTAAGGAATCTTGTAGGATGGTGACACCAATCAATCAACAATAATCATAATAGCAGTTACATGTCACAGTAACTAGAGCACTTGCCCTGGAGTCAGGAAAACCTGAGTTCAAATCCCTGCTCAGACACTGACTAGCTGAGTGCTCCTATGCAAGTCACTTAACCTCTGTCTGCCTCAGTCTGCTCACCTGTAAAAGGGGATAGTAATAGCACCTACCTCTCAGAGATTTGTGAGGATAAAATGAGATAATATTTGTAAAGTGCTTTGCAAACCTTGAAGTATTATATAAACGTTAGCTATTATTACTACATAGTATTTAAAATTTACTTGGGTTATCTCATTTGATCAACAAGCATTTCTTAAGTTCCTGTTCTGTGCCAGCCCCAGTGGTTAGCATAGGGACTAGACTGGTGATTTCTTTCCAGGTGAGAAGCCTTCCTCTGTCAGTGAAAGTTGGCAACTTATCTGCAATAGATAGTCTCAGTGGTTTAGGACAAAGGTGTTCAACTAACAGCCTGCAGGCTGAACCGGATTAAAATGTAATTGTAAATTACATTTGTAATTGCAAATTGTAATTGTAAATTACATTTGTCATTTGTATTTGTAAATTACAGTTTTGTAATTATAATTGTAATTACAATTGTAAAATGTAGTAAGACAAATAAAAATATAATTCAAAAAAGGTAATGCTAATTTGTGGTTTTCTAAGGTGATGTGAAGCTCACAACAATCCTAAATTTGAGTTGGGCACCTCTGGTTTAATGCACTGAAAGGTGAGTGACTTGCCCAGGGCCACACAGATAGTATATGTTAGAAGATGGTCTTTAAGCCAGATCTTCCTAGCTCTCATGCCAGCTCTCTGTCCATGGTGCCCTAGGGTTACAAAGACAGAAATGGAAGTCTCCACCTTTACAGAGCAAGGGAGTGGGCACGGGGTAGAAACCTTGTTGAAATAGTCTTTCAGATGGCATTCTGCTCTGCTGATTCAAATGCTTTTATTTTTTCACAATTAATGAACAATGAGCACAGTGGGAACTTACAAGCTATACATCTATCAGTCAGTTTTGTGATGATAAATGTGTGGAATGTTGCTAGCAAAAGCCTGACTATTCCCTTCTAATGCCCATATTGAGGATGACTTTGTTGTTGTTATTGTTGGGTGTGGGGTGTGTGTGTGTGTGTGTGTGTGTGTGTGTGTGTGTGTGTGTGGGTGTGTGTGTAGATTAGATAGCTAGGTGGTGCAGTGGATAGAATCCTAGACTTGGAATCAGGAAGAACTGAGTTGGAATCCTGCCTCAGACACTAGTAGCCATGTGAACTTGGGCAAATCACTTAATATCTTTCAGCCTTAGTTTACTCATCTATAAAATGAAGATAGTAAAAACACCTACATCTCAGGGTTGTTGAAAGAATCAAATGAAACAACATATATGAAGCGTTTTATAAACCTTATGAATGCTAGCTATTATATTGTTATTATTAATCAACAAACATTTGTTGTTGTTCAGTCATGTCAGTTCTGTCCTGAATGTTATGACTCCATTTGGAATCTTCTGGCAAAGACAGTGGATTGCCATTTCCTCCTCCAGATCATTTTGCATTTTATAGGGTTTAGTGACTTGCCCAGGGTCATGCAGCTAATAATATGCTAAGGGGAGAAGGAATACAAGAGAGGAGGACTATGTAGAATTGAACTGGTTCATCAAGGACTTAATATGGGGAAAAGAGGGAAGACAGTGGCTAGTACAGGGAAAATGGCTTGAGAGAGAATTGAGGGGTCAAGAGATTGTAGATCATGGTTGAATGAAGAGTAAAAGTATTGTAATGGAAGGCAAAGGGAGAGATTAAAAGCCAATGAATCTTGGCCAAATAAAGGAATTTCAGAATTCTTGAACAAAGAGGTAAATGTAGAAGTGAGGGGTGTGTGTGTGTGTGTGTGTGTGTGTGTGTGTGTGTGTGTGTGTGTGTGTGTGTAATAGATTCATTCTGGATAGTTCTCTTCCAGTGTCTGTCTTCTTCCCTTTGACGCAAACTCATTTAGGGAAACTTGGGGAAGGATGTGTCATTCCATTTGGTTCAGTTCTGGAAGCCCTCCCAGATAACCCTGAATGTTGTCAGAGGATAAGACTGTAAGTTAGGAGGCAATGTCAACTGTTATGTGACCTGAAGCAATTCTCCTAATTCTGCCTTACAAATAATGAAGACACAAAACAACTTTACCAGCCTAGGGGAAAAAAAAATTTAGCTGCTTTCCTTTTTTCCTTCCTTCCTTCCAGGAATTATACCAGAAGTAAAACTCATGAAATCAGCATTCTTTGCAGCTCACAACTCAACTAAATTCAACAAACATTTTTTTAAAAATGTATTATTGATGCCTTTTGTTTTTATATCATGTTTACTTCAACTTGCACCCCTGCTCCTCTCTCCCACATTGAACCCTACTGTGTAGCAAAGAAGAACAATTAAGTAAAAACAGCTAGTACAGGGGTCTATTGAGATAACATACGTAAAGCTTTGCAAACCTTATAACTCTGTATAAATGAAAGCTATTATTATTCTGTTTCTCTGTACAAAACACTCCCCTCATAATTCCTCACCTCTCAATAGAGGAGGGAAGTGTGTTTCTTTATCCATTCTGCAAAGACTGTTACTAGGTTGGGTTTTTTCTTTTCATTCACTGCTATTATTATCCCTATTTTACAGATGAGGAAACTGAGGCAAATAGGTTAAATGCCTTGTCCAGAGTAATAGAACTAGTAAATGTTTGAGGCCAGATTTGAACTCTGGTCTTCTTGACTTCAGGCCTGGTAGGTGCTCCATCCACTGAGTCACTAAGCTGCCTTGTCTTAGAGAGCTGCCTACAACATAGACTTGTCCAGAGTCACATAGTAGTGAAAGGCAGAACTTGAACCCAGGTCTTGGTTTCAAGGCTAGCTTTCTATCCAGTGCTCCATAAAGAACTCAACCCATTAAGCCATCCTTGGGGACTACTGAATAAATGGTTCCTTTCCCTCTGGACCTGCACCAATTGAGTCATTCACTGACCTAAAGAGAAGGTGTGATGAGGTCCAGACTTCCTCTGCTGCTATCCACACCTTCACCACTCCATGTTATGACTCCAGCCTCCACCTTCAGGGGCCACACTGTTGATTTCATTCTCTAAGAAGCATCTTATTAATGGAATCTCCTTCTAGGAGGCTAGCACTCAACTTAGAAATAAGAAAGTCTGGAACTTGAGAGTACCTATGA